AAAAAGAAATCCGGCTGCAGAGGTGAGACTTGGAGACAATTCATTCAGAAGCTCTCTCAGAGATCCTGACTGCTCAGAAGTACAACAGAAACTGAGCAGGAAGACACCCAGTGATATTTTATTCATTTTGGCTAGAAGCAATGTTAAAACAAGCTGTACACTGAGAAGGTAGCATTTGCTCTAGGGACACAGAGGAATGAAAATAAGGACTCTGCAGAACAGCTGAAGTGGCAACAAGACTCATGCCCAAACCATGCAACCTGCTCAAAAGTAAGGAAGTTGAAGCACAGAGAGTTCCATATCTGAAGCCCCTAAACAGCAGTATGGGAAGCATCACACTGGGAATTTTACGAGGCCTTGTAAAGGTAGCAGGAAGATGACAAGTGCAGAATGCCAGTTCAGGCCCTTCAATGTATATACAATAGGAAACAAGTGTACAAATGTACATCTGCTCCACCCCTGCCCTACAGGAACAATGACAAGCCAGGAGACCAGGCCAGTTCCCATAACCAGTTTCTAGTGATTTTACTGAGACAGTAAAAGCACAGCAGCAGCACAAGATGTCATGTTAGACACAGAGAGGAGAAACACTAGTGTCATGAGAGACTGAAAGAGCTGCTCCCATTCACCCAGCCCACTGCTCCTCACTTGAGGTTGCAGAACTGTGGGACTACAGGACGTTCACAATCCTTATTACATCTCTGTGCAGCTTGTCTAAGATAAATGCAGACTGAAACTGATGTGACCACTACAGGTGAAAGCCTCCAGCACTTAAAAGGGATAATAAAATTGTAAGGTTTAGAATAGGAAGCCACCTAGGCTAATTAGCAAAGTAGTTCACATTAAGCAAGGTCTTGTTTAGAGATAACATTCTACTAGAAGATACAATAATATGCTTCTATTCTCACTGAATAGAAAGATTCAAAATGTCAGGTCACCCAAATCTTCAGTTTCCAAGGAAAAAAAAAGGTGGACTGGACCGTTTAAGCTGCCTGTTGCTATCCAAGACACAAAACAACATCCAATACGACCCTTTTCCCTTGCTACTATGGAAGGAAGTATCTGTGCAATGTTGCTCAAACCAACTGCTAAAGTAGTAGAGAAGAAGACACCCCTCAGGGTGTCCTCTCTCGAAGGTTCAAGCATGATTGCACGCACTCCAAGATCCACAAGAAGCTCATAAGCATGTTTACGCTATGCTAGGAATGGTTCTAAACCTTTTAGAACCTCTAATTCTAAATAAGACTTATTTCTGTTAAAAAGTGGAGCCCTCTCCCTTTCCAGTTGTACTGGAAATAGCTTCTCATGGATTGTCAAAGACGGTTTCAGGAGTATATTTAAAAAACGATGTTCTGTTAAAAGATGTAAGGCCAAACACAGATAAAAGATGCTATTAGCTGCAAGTCTTTATTCAGTTGTCGAGATCTTATAAAGGCAACTCTTAAAAATGTAGAGAAGTAGCACTAGAAGAATGTAAATTTCTAGCATCTTTGAAAGTTACCTAATTATGATGAGAAACAATCTATTCAAAGAGATGGTTTATACAAAAAAATAAGACATTAAAGTTGATGAAAAGCCATTTAACTTATCTTCAAAAGATACATTGCCTACAACAAGCGCGAGGTACTCCACAGTGTTTTGTTTCAAGTCCACGTTTTGCCTTCTAGCCTTTGCATTGGAAACCGATACAGAAGGGCAATTTTGTTTAAACTAAAAGTCAGCCGATCATGTTGCTTTTGTGCACGGCAGCTGCGGAGCAGCGGCTGAGCCCAGCCCGAGCCGCGCCTTTCAGAGCCGGACTCGCCTCTCCGCATTGAGCCGCGCTCGGGACTCAGCAGCGCCCTCTGCCCGCAGCCGACGCAGGAGTAGCGAGCGGACCCGTCTCCTCAATCGAGCACAACCCACCATTCATAAAAAGGGGGTCGCGCAGAGCTGAAAGGCAACGATGCAGTGCTGGAAACCGAGCAAATCTGAACACTACTCTGTGGTTTTTTTGACCCTACTGTTTTAGCTAAAATGAGCATATTTGGTAATTATTGTTCCACTGAGGTCCCTTTCATCCCACGCTCTTAATTACATTTGCTTTAATTGAGTATTTTTATCTATCGGGGGGGGGAGGAAGGAGGTGAATATAATATTAACACGCCCAAGTTAATCAACTTAGAAGGCAACAGCTGTCTCATGAGAAATGCCCTCGATAAATTACCATCACGCATTAGGGAGACTCTTACGTTAAAGCGCTCTAGAAATCCTGGTCTGTTTTATTCGTATCGGCACTGTTTTGCAATAGGTGTTTGCCTTAAAGATTTAAGGAAGAACTCGGGCAACACTGCCTTTGCCTTCCCGTTTCTAAATAAAGAAACGCCCACCGATGCCTTCTATATTTCACTCCCAGCCTTTGAAAACTTCCAGTATTTCCCCCGGTGGAAAACTCCCCAGATTTTCCCATGGAAATAGGGCTCCCATCAAGCCTCCTTAAATGTTTCAGCTACAATTGATTCGATGCACTTTCTTCTCCCTGGCAGAGCAGGAAGGCAGAGGAAGCCCCTGCGGGCACTGCATGGGCTGGTGCAGGCTGCCCCGGCCCCCCCGGCCGCACGTGGACCAGCCAGTGCCCCTGTCAGTGTCCCTGTCACGCGAGGCGGCCGCGGACCCCAGGCTGGTGTGTCCCCCCTCCCACGGGGCAGCGGCGGGGGATGGCGGCCCCACCGATTCACTGCCCGCCCGGCTCGCCGGCAGCCGCTCGGGAAACTTCGGGAGGAGGACAACGGGAGAGCTCTCGGTCGGGGCAGCCCGCCGCCCCTCGGGGCAGGCGGGGGGGAGCGGGGGCGGCTTGGGAAGAGCTGGAATGCAGGCGGAGGAAGCCAGGCGCCCCCGGCCGGGCTCACAGCGGCCCCGTCACCTCCCCACAGGGTCTGAGACCCAGCCCCCGTGATGGCCCCAGGCGTTCCTTGAGCGGAGCGGAGAGAGCGCGTTATGTCACCGGTTAGGTAACGGCGCGGGAGCCGCCGCAGTGACGGCACCACTCCCCCGCCCCCGCCGCGGCCGGGGCGGCTGAGGTGAGGCGGCGTTAACCCTTCGTGGGGGCGGCCTCCACCCGCGTGGAGCGGGTCCCCCGGGAGCGGGGCGGGCTTCCCCACCGCCCACCGGAGGCCGCGGGGGCGAGGCCGATGCCGCGGGAGGGCGGCGAGGCGGCCCCGCGGGCCCCGAGCGCCCGCACCTCCCGCGCGCCGCGCGGGGCCGGCAGGGGGCGCTGCGGCGCCGCGGCGGGCGGGGGAGGGAGCGGACGGACGGACAGACGGACTGACAGACGGACGCGGCACCGACGGCGCCCTGCGGCCCCTTCTCTGCGCCCACGCGTGATGCCCCGGCCCGGACGGCGAGGAGCACGTCCTGTTCCCACACACTCATCCCAGCACGCCCGCACCACGGCGCGCACTGCCATCAGCCCTCTGGCACTAAGAATGCACGTTACCGGGGCGCTGGAGATCCCCATTGCCGGCCGGCAGCCGACCCTTCCTGAGCGCCTGGCTTCCACCAGCACGAGCCCGGTGCCACCAGCGCGCCCTTCGCAGCCCAGCCCAGCCCACGCCGCGCTCAGTTGGGGCCCAGCCGAGAGCATTCCCCACATCCCTCGCTGCCGCCTGCCCCAGCGGTTCTCCCCAGCCGGCCTTCACAGAGGATCCACCCTGAGCTCGCTGCCAACAGCCCTGCGTGCTCGTGTCCCAAACACAAGGCAGCTCGGCACACGCTCCCGGTAGAGGGAAGGACCTCCAGGCCAGCCCGCATTCCACATGGATTTCAGGTCCCACTGAACCCTGCCTCCATCAGGGAACACTGGCACAGACACAGCACTGTTCACCATGTCCTCAACACGTACCTTGCTCCTGGCAAGGTGTAGACTTCTATGGATAGTCACACCAAGAATGCAGCAACCCCCTGTGAAGGTCCACCACAATCTCCTTCCAAGGTCTTCATTGCAATCTCTCCAACCTCCCTTTTTATTTACATAGTCCACTCAAGCAAGTGGCAACAGGACTCTTCAGCTTGTCCCAAGCTAGCAGACCAGCAGTCATGGCTCAGAAAAAAGGTAGCTCAGAGGAACTTCCAGCAACACCTTCTGTCCACAGGTGCAATGCTATGAAGGGAGAATAGCCTCTACCAACTGCCTAGATTCTCTGGAAAGCCACATCCACAATAGGGTGCACCCCACTGGCTCCCTGTTTGACTTCAGGTACCTCCTGCCCCATCTCCCTCCTATTTGATCCTTTCCTTCCTTTTTTGACATCCCATCCTTGTAGCTCCCCTATCCCAACTTTCCAAAGACTCTTTGATTTAGAAAAGCTTATAAGTTCCACAACAGAAAAGGTTTTCAGTAGTGCCCCCCCAACTCCTCTCTGAGTGGGACTGGGGGCCAAGTATTGGACTTCCCTCTCTAGTCCAAGAGAAAATCCTCCTTTAGAAGTTAGACATTAAAAACAATGGAGGTTGTTCTTACCACCTCTGCATAGACTGATCTTGATACCTCTAGTCCACTGATCAGAATCAGACTGACAAAAGAGCTTTATTACCCACACGTCCTTCTAGCTCTCTCTCAAAAGACCCCTCAGAATTGCACAAAGCTCCCTTCTGCCAATGGGAAATGCTCTACCATCTCTGCTGCTCTTCTTCAGGTCCTGCAAACCTTTCTTACAATGTGTTCAGACAGCTAGTGCCACCTCACCAAAATACTGCTGTTCCACAAGCACCAGAATGTGGACAGGATGAACATGGGCCGGCTGGGGCACAGCACAGTCTGGTCAGGTCACTGTTAGAGGCCGAGCAGCCCACTGCACATGCAAACTAACACAGCACTGAAGTTCATTCATGCTGAAAGTTGCAATTGTGGCTAGAGGAAGTAGCTTGCATCAAAGGAACTAAGACACCTTAAGGAAGAGAGGGAGAAAGGAGGAGAAGGGAGAAAGGAGGAGAAGGGAGAAAGGAG